GCAGAGCTTCCCAGGGGTGGTCTCCAACTCCAAAGTGCTGGCCACTGCGCCCGGCCAGCGTGCCATGTTTTTGGTTAAAAGAGGCAACATTGAGGCAGAGCATGGGCGGTGGCCGCGCAGGCAGGGCCTCCTCAAAAAAAAAAAAAAAAAAAGACATTAGCCAGGCGTGGTGTCTCATGCCTGTAATCCCGGCACTTTGGGAGGCCGAGGTTGGGCAGATCACGAGGTCAGGAGATCGGGACCAGCCTGGCCAACATGGTGAAACCCCATCTCTACTAAAATACAGAAAATTAGGCAGGCATGGTGGCAGGCACCTGTAGTCCCAGCTACTCAGGAGGCTGAGGCAGGGGAATCACTTGAATCCAGGCAGCAGAGGTTGCAGTGAGCTGAGATTGTGCCACTGCACTCCAGTCTGGGCGACAGAGCAAGACGCCATCTGAAAAAAAAAGACTCAACATTGGCCAGGCACGGTGGCTCACGCCTGTAATCCCAGCACTTTGGGAGGCCAAGGCGGGCGGGTCACCTGAGTTCGGGAGTTTGAGACCAGCCTGACCAACACGGAGAAACCCTGTCTCTACTAAAAACATAAAATTAGCTGGGTGTGATGGCACGTGCCTGTAATCCAGCTACTCAGGAGGCTGAGATGGGAGAATCGCTTGAACCTGGGAGGCAGAGGTTTTGGTGAGCTGATCTGTGGATGTAATCCCTGGCAAAATCTCAGCAGATTTTTTTTTTTTTTTGAGACATAGTCTTGCTCTGTCACCCAGGCTGGAGTGCAGTGGCATGATCCTGCCTCCTGGGTTCAAGCCATTCTCCTGCCTCAGCCTCCTGAGTAGCTAGGATTATAGGCGTGCGCCACCATGCCCAGCTAATTTTTTTGTATTTTTAGTAGAGAAGGGGTTTCTCCATGTTGGTCAGGCTGGTCTCAAACTCCCGACCTCCGGTGATCCGCCCGCCTTGGCCTCCCAAAGTGCTGGGATTAGAGGCGTGAGCCGCTATCCTTGTCCTCAGCTGCTGTTTTTTGCTGTTGTTGTTTTTAATAATGCAGCTTAAAGCTGGTGTTTTTTATTGGCAGTAGAAATTGACAAGCCAAGCAAATACTAAAATCTGTATAGATATGGAAATAAGATAGTCAAAACAATTTTGAAAAAGAACAAAGCTGAAGGATTTACACTACGTGATCTCAAAACTTAATAGAAAGCTAGAATAATGAAAACAGGTCTGGGCACAGTGGCTGATATCTGTAATCCCTGCACTTTGGGAGGCTGAGGCAGGCAGATCACCTAAGGTCAGAAGTTCGAGACCAGCTTGGCTAATATGGCAAGCGAAACCCCGTCTCTACTACAAATACAAAAATTAGCTGGGCGTGGTGGCACACACCTGTAATCGCAGCTACTCAGGAGACTGAGGCAGGAGAATGGCTTGAACCTGGGAGGCAGAGGGCGTAGTGAGCTGAGACTGAGCCATTGCACTCCAGCCTGGGCAACAAGAGCAAAACTCCGTCTCAAAAAAATAAAATAAAAAAAAATGAAGACAGGAAAGAATTAATATAGCAGCTCAAGTCTGTAATCCTAGCACTTTGGAAGGCTGAGGCAGGCGAATCACAAGGTCAGGGGTTTGAGACCAGCCTGACCAACATGGTGAAACCCCGTCTCCACTGAAAATACAAAAACTAGCTGGGCGTGGTGCCGCGCCTGTAATCCCAGCTACTAAGGAGGCTGAGGCAGAATTGCTTGAACCCAGGAGGCGGAAGTTGCGGTGAGCCACTGTACTCCAGCCTGGGTGACAGCGAGACTCCATCTCAAAAAAAAAAAAGAAGAAAGAAAAACGTATAGATCAAGGGAACAGAATAGAGAATACAAAACTCTCAAGATTATCATCAACTGATTTTTGTTATGGAAGTGCTAAGTCTATTTATTTAGAGATGAGCTCTCACTCTGTTGCTTAGGCTGGAGTGCAGTGGTGTGACTACAACTCCACAGTCTCCAATTCTGGGGCTCAGGAGATCCTCCTGCTTCAGCCTCCCCAGCAACTGGAACTACAGGCATGAGCTACCACACCTTGCTCCTAAGTCAGTTTTATGGGGAAACAATATCTTTTTCAATAAATGGTATTGGAATAATGGATTGTCCATATTTAAAAAGAATTTAGGGTCGAGTGTGGTGGTTCACGCCTGCCATCCCAGCACTTCGGGAGGCCAAGGCAGGCAGATCATGAGGTCAAGAGATGGAGACCATCCTGGCCAACATGGTGAAACCCCATCTCTACTAAAAATACAAAAATTCACTGGGCATGGTGGCACATGCCTGTAGTCCCAGCTACTCGAGAGGCTGAGGCAGGAGAATTGCTTGAATTCGGGAGGCGGAGGTTACAGTGAGACAAGATCATGATACTGCACTCCAGCCTGGCAACAGAACAAGACTCTGCATCAAAAAATAAAAATCTGAAATGAATCTTGTGGGACTAAAATCCAGGTGTTGGCTTCTCTTAAGAAGCTCAGGGGAAAAACCTGTGTCCTCGCCTTTTCCAGCTTGTCCTAGATCCCTTGGTTCATAGAATCTTCTTCCATGTTCAAAGCCAGCAGCTGAGCATCTTCCAGGTTCTCTCTCAGATCCCAGCATCACATTGACTTCTCTGACTCTGACTCTAAGCCCCCTACCTCTTTCTCTCTCTCTTTTCTTTTTTTTTGAGATGGACCAGGCTGGAGTGCAGTGGTGCAATCTTGGCTCACTGCAACATCTGCCTCCTGGGTTCAAGCGATTCTCCTGCCTCAGCCTCCTGAGTAGCTAGGATTACAGGCGCCTGCCACCACGCCCTGCTAAGTTTTGTATTTTTAGTAGAGACGGGGTTTCACCATGTTGGCCAGGCTGGTCTCTAACTTCTGACCTGAAATGATCCCCTCCACCCCTGGGCCTCCCAAAGTGCTGGGATTACAAGCATTTTGTAATCCCAAGGTGTGAGCCACCACACACGGCCTATAACTACTTTTAATTATATACAAATTAAGGTGCAAGTTATTCAGAACGTTTTAGAAAAAGGGCAGTAACTTTGGGGTGGTTATCATGGGAAGGGCAGTAACTTGTGGGCACTGTCATGGCAATGGTAAGGGGAAATGGCACTGGTGGGCTTGTCTCATGGAGAGGCACTTTTGCCTCTTCCCTGTTTCAGGCAGTGTTTAATCTGCTCTGGAGTAAAGTTCTGCCTCCTACCTCAAAATCAGAACACATCTTATAATGATGGCATGCAAAAAGCATGGAAAAAGAAAATGCTCAAGACCATTGTAATCAGGGAAATGCACATTAAAACCACAGTAATAGCCAGGTGCAGTGGCACACGCCTGCAGCTGCAGCTGGTGGGAGGATCCCATGAGCATGGGAGTTCCAGGCTGCAGTGAGCTATGATCACATAACTGCACTCTAGGCTGGGTGACAGGATGAGATCTCTTCTCTACAAAATAAATAAAATTTTAAAAATCACGAGATACCATTACCCATTCACTGGACTGGTTAAAATAAAGACGCTTGGCCATACCAATTGTTGGTAAGGATGTGGAGCAAACAAAACACTCACACACTGTTGGTAGGAATGTTTTTAAATGTACGGCTGCTTTGTGGAAAGCTAAACATATACCCAGGCTATGCCTCAGCAATTTGGTTTCTATGTATGCCCAAGAGAAACGAAAATGAGCCTGGGTAATGCGAGACCCTATCTCTCAAAAAAAAAAAAATAAATAAAAAACATAATGGGGGCATGGTGGCATGTGCCTGTAATCCCAGCTACTTGGAAGGCTGAGGCAGGAAAATCACTTGAACCCAGGAGACAGAGGTTGCAGTGAATCGAGACTGTCCCATTGCACTCCAGCCTGGACAAGAGCAAAACTCTGTCTCAAAGAAACACCAAAAACAAACAAAAAACCAATATGGCCATGTGCTGCTTAATGGTGAAGTTATGTCCTAAGAAATGTGTCATTGGGCGATTTTGTTGTGCCACAAACCTAGATGGGACAGCCTACCCCACATCGAGGCCACACGATCCGAACAACACGTGGTAATCTTTTATTTATTTAGAGATGGAGTCTCCCTCTGTCACCCGGCCTGGAGTGCAATGGCGCCATCTCGGCTCACTGCAGCCTCCCCCTCCTGGGTTCAAGCGATTCTTCGGCCTCGGCCTCCCGAGTAGCTGGGACTACAGGCGCATGCCGCCACGCCCGGCTAATATTTGCATTTCTAGTAGACACGGAGTTTCGCCATCTTGGTCAGGCTGGTCTCGAACTCCTGACCTCGTGATCGGTGGGATGACAGGCGTCAGCCACCGCGCCCGGCCGAGACGTAGTCATCTGCAGGGCCCGGCACAGTATATGCGGCCCGCGTTCCGGGGAAGCGTCGCGAGGCCCACGACTCAAAGGCGAGCCTCGGTGAGTGACCGACAGCCCCAAACTGGCCCTTCCACGCCGGGCCGAGGTGCAGAGGCAGGGGCTCTGCGGACCACAGCGGGGCCCAGGGGCCTCGTGAGCGAGGGAAGGGCTCGCTGCAGGCCCCCGCGATTCCCCCGGAAAGTTACACTGCAGCGGCGCCGCGCGGACACCCGGGGTCAGACCCGATCCCCGGCCGCGCCGGCCCCAGGGAAGCGGGCAGGGGTCCGCTGCGGTGCCCGGGCGCTCGGCGAAGACGCCATGCCGCCACGAAAACGCCCGCGACGCCGTTGCGCGGCGCACAGGCCGGACCTGCGAAGCGCGGCGGGCCCGGCACCCACCAGCTCCGGGCCTGCTCTGCCTCACCGGGCTGGCCGCGAGCCCCCGACGAGCCGCGAGCCCCGGGGCCGCCGCAACGCTCCGCGGCCTCGGACGCGGCGGGGAGCGGCAGGCTCCGCGGCGGCGGCTTCCGCGGAAGTCCTCCAGCGCGCTCCGGCCGCTCTAGCCCGCGCGCGCCCTGCTCGCTGGTGCTCTGGGCCGCGGCCGGTCGCTGGCGCTTCTCCGGCGTTAGGGGGCGCGAGGCCGCGGCAGGGCCGCTCTGGGCCGCGGCGGCCGCTCGACTGCTCCGAGGCGCGGTCCCGACGCGCCCCGCCCCCGCCCGCGTTCCCCGGGCAACCCGCGGCCGCCGCCATGGACGCGCTGTCGGGCGCCGGGCCGCGGCGGGCTCGCGGCCTGGGCGCCGCCGGGCCTGGGTCTTCGTGCCGCGCGGCGCGGCCCCCGGCGCCCTGGGCGCGCTTCTCCGCCTGGCTGGAGTGCGTGTGCGTGGTCACCTTCGACCTGGAGCTGGGCCAGGCGCTGGAGGTGAGCGGGCGCGCGGGCGGGCGGGCTGGGCCGCCCGGGGCTGGTCTCGCCTCGCTCGGGGCCCGCGGCCGCCCCGCACCCTCCTCGGCCTTCGGCCGCCGCCTCCAGCAGGGGCGTGTTCCCGCCTCCAGAAGCGTTCCCCAGGCCAAGGAGGGAAGGCGAGGCGCTCGGAGCGGGATCTCGTGCTCACCCTGGGATGGAGGAGATGGGGACCCTGCACTGTGCCTGACCTACGCGGCACTCTTGGATTTTCTCACATCTCCCCCCCCATTCCCCACCCGAGCAGTGACACCTTCCTACCCTCAATGGCTCCCGCCAGAGTCCCGGGCTCACCCTCCGACCCGCATCCCATCCCTGGGCTGGGCAAGGCTGGCGGCTCCTTCTGCAGCAAGGGTCTCGGATCCGTTTCTTTGCTGCCATCACTGATGTCATTCCCACCCCAGCTGCACCCCAGAGTTCATCCTTTGTGGCTCTCCTGCTTAAAATCCTGCGGCGCCTCCTTGTTCACCTGGAATCAACTCCAGACCCCCTGATTGGCCTTACCCCTCCACCTGCGTCTTCTGGTGTTCTTGCCCTTGGGGGTCTGTTCACAGGCTGTGCCCATGGGCTTTCGATGGGGTCTTCCTGCTGCATGCGGGGCTTCCACCCACCTACCCGCACAGGCAGCTTCTCTTCCTCCAGGTGTAGACTCCGGGAGGCCCTGCGGGATAATCTCTGTGTCCTGTGACACACACCACAGAGCTGACCAGCACAGGGGAGGCCCACCTGCAGGGGGAGGGAGGCTTCCCGGCACTGGCGGAATAAACCTCCTGAGAGGTAGTGAGCACCCCATTACTGCACATGTCCAAGATGAGGCCAAATCGTCATCATCAGGAAAGCCAGTCAGCATGTCTCTGTGGTTGGGAGAGGCTTTCTAAGGCCCTGCTGAACTCCAAGAGGCCACAAGAAGCCTAAAGTCTTCCAAACAGAAAAGCATAACTCCAGCACCCCCTGGAGCCCCTCCCACCACACACCATCTCCAGCGGGTGCACGACCTCAAACAGCACCACGTCGTGGGGGCTGAGTACCAAGAGGTGTGGTGATCTGCCCAGTGTTGAGAGCCACTTTCTTAGTTCAATACTGTCATCCAAATTGCTCCCCACAAGAGAATTTAAGAGGTTGCTCTTAAGGCATTCTCATGTGTCATTTTCTAAAACGCATTCAGAAAGTTATTTCCGAGCTGAGTTGAAGGCTGTGTGTGCTTGGACTCCTTAGCTTTTGCTGGGGATGCTCAGCTTGGACTGGGAGCATGCTCAGCTGGTGGGGTGTTAGGGACCCTGGGCGACGGACGTCGGAAACTCTCCGTAGCAGTGACCAGCACGTTGAGTCTGTGCTGGCAGGGCTGTGGGGTGATGTGTCCAGCTTGAGAGGGCTTGGGCAGGACTGTGGGATACCGAGTATACAAGTCGGCTAAGGAAAGGGCCTGGCTCCGCCTTCTCAGCTCTTGAAAACTCACCCCTCGGGCTGGGTGCAGTGCCTCCCACCTGTAACCCCAGCACTTTCGGCGGCCGAGGCAGAATAATCACTTTGAGTCTAGGAGTTCCACACCAGCCTAGGCAACATAGTGAGACCCTGTCTCTTTTTTTATTTATTTTTTATTTTTATTTTTAAAGACAGGGTTTCAGCATGTTGGTCAGGCTGGTCTTGAACTCCCGACCTCAGGTGATCCGCCCGCCTTGGCCTCCAAAGTGCTTGGATTACAGGCGGGAGCCACCATGAGACCCTGTCTCTACCAAAAATAAAAATAAATAAATAAAATAAAAATAAAAAACAGGCTTGCACCTGTAGTTATAGCTACTCAGGAGGCTGAGGCCAGAGGATTGTTTGAGCTCAGGAATTCAAGGCTGCAGTGAGCCATGATCACCACTGCACTCCAGCCTGGGTGACAGTGAGAACCTGTCTCAAAAACAAAAACAAACAAAAAAAGCTAGGTGCAGTAGCTAATGCCTGTAATCCTAGCATTTTGGGAGCCCAGGGTGTGAGGAGCACTTGAGCCCAGGAGTTCTAGACCAGCCTGGTCAGTATAGCAAGACCCACATCTCTACAAAAAATACAAAATGTGGCCAGGCTCATTGGCTTACACCTTTAAAAAAAAAGAAGAAAAAGAAAAAATTAGGCATGGTGGCACACACCTGTAGTCTCAGCTACTTGGGAGGCTGAGGTAGGGTAACTGCTTGAGCCCAGTTTGAGATTGACCCTGTTTCTTAAAAAACAAAAACAAGCTGGGCGCGGTGGCTCACGCTTGTAATCCCAGCACTGTGGGAGGCTGAGGCGGGTGGATCACGAGGTCAAGAGATCGAGACCATCCTGGTCAACATGGTGAAACCCCGTCTCTACTAAAAATACAAAAAATTAGCTGGGCATGGTGGCGCGTGCCTGTAATCCCAGCTACTCAGGAGGCTGAGGCAGGAGAATTGCCTGAACCCAGGAGGTGGAGGTTGCGGTGAGCCGAGATGGCGCCATTGCACTCCAGCCTGGGTAACAAGAGCGAAACTCCGTCTCCAAAAAAAACAAACAAACAAAAACAAGGCCAGGCACCGTGGCTCATGTCTGTAGTCCCAGCACTTTGGGAGGCAGAGTTGGGTGGATCACCTGAGGTCAGGAGTTTTGAGACCAGCCTGGCCAAGATGGTGAAACTTCATGTCTACTAAAAATACAAAAATTAGCCAGGCATGGTGGTGTGCACCTGTAATCCCAGCTACTCGGGAGCCTGAAGCAGGAGAATCATTAGAACCCGGGAGGTAGAGGTTGCAGGAGCAGAGATCACGCCACTGCACTCCAATATGGGTGACAGAGAGAGACTGTCTCAGAAAAAAACAAGAAAAACAAATATTTTTTTTTGAAAGGGAAA